TGAAGTAATTGGTGGTCAAATGGATGACATTGTTACAGAATACATTTGAAGAAGAAACATCGAACGTATAGTATTTTCGGTCGAAGGTAAATAAATTGGATATAGATGTCGCGTCAGAGCTATTGAATGCAGATGTAACTCCAGCCGGCGAGATGATGAATGACCTGATGGCCAAAAGGACTACATTGTTGCAGAATATGATTGAAGAAGAAACATCGAAAACAGAGTCTTCTCCACTGAATGTAAATGAAGTTGATGTAGATGCAACCACATCAGACGAGATGACGAAGGAATTGAGGTCAAATGGACGATGTTGTTGCAAAATGCATTTGAAGAAGAAACATCGAACAAATAGTCTTCTCAGTCGAATGTAAATGAATTGGATGTAAATGCAATGGCGAAACTATTGGATGCAAATGAAACCGGACCTGGAAAGATGACAAAAGAACTCGTTGCCAAAGGCACAACATTGTTGCAAAAACACATTTGAATAAGAAACATCGAAGATAGAGTTTCCTCGGTCAAAGGTAAATGAATTGGATGCAGAGATTTGAGGGTTGGAAGAAAGGTTTTCTATCAAAGGGAGGGAGGTTAACATTAATTCAATCAATCCTTAGTAGCCTACCAATTTATTATTTATCATTGTTTAGAGTTCCAGTAAAGGTAGCTACAAGGTTGGAAAAGTTGATTATAGATTTTTTTTTTTTTTTTTTAGGACAGGGTGGGAAAAGGTAATAAGGATCACCTTCTTAATTGGGAAAATGTCATAAGATGTAAAGAAGAAGGATGAATGTGTAACATCTTGTCCCGAAAATTTTATTTTATTTCCAAAATTTTAACATAATTGGACGAATATGGTTTTTAAGTGGTTTAGGGGTCACTTTGTGTTTGGGATTGATTTTGAAAATTTTCTTCGCTTTATTGTAGAGGGCTCGCTATTACGAGTTAATAGACATATAGTGGGCACGAATCGGAGTTTTAACAAGAAATTTTGTATTCAACGAACAAAAAGGACAAATTTATAATTTTAGAAAAGTTTATTTTTAAAACCCAAAATTTTGGCATTCCTTCATACTTATCTCATTTCTCCCAATCTATCTTCCAAGAAACGGCGCATCGCGCCTATTCTACTTCCCGGTGGTGCAACGCATCCGTCCGGTCACGGCTGTTGATGCCACTAATCAGGAAATGTTCACCGTCGACCAGCAAGTGTGTCAAGCCCAAACCTCGACCCCATCAACCAGTCATGACAGTGAATCGAGTTTCCAAAGGCCGACGGTCTCCAATTTTTTCGATGCAGTTTCTGGCAACTCCGACAACCGTTGCCATTGATCCAGGTATAGATCTTCATCCTTTCCTCATGCTTTAGCTGATGGTATACATGGTTGTTGTCGATTTGGTCTGTCATGGCTTAGATATAGACACCCGTGGTGATGTCCATTTTGAGTGAGTTTTCAGGCAAAATTTGGCCACAGTGACCGTTCCAAGAGTAAAAGTTGTTCCAATTGAAGTGTTTGTGCTAGTGGTTTATTAGGTTGCCAGTGATTTGGACTTTTTCCTTGGAAAACTCTTCAAGCCACATGCTACAACCGGCGAGTGATGGCCACTTTGTCTTGAAATTCTCCCATTGTTGCCTTAAGCAAGACGATATGCTCGGATTGGAGAGATTCTGTTGTTTAATCGACAATCAAAGTTTTGCCTATTATGTATCGTTTGATAGGAAATGATCGGACTGTCGGATCGGTCCCATCTTGGATTCTGTTGTTTCGCATACCACTAGGTCATGTAAGAACTTACGGATCTATAATAGGACGCTCATATCTTCCGGATTGATGATAGTAGGTTTAGATTTATCGACGTCGTTTCAATCGTCAGATCGTAATGAAACTTTTGGGATGTAATTAGTGGACCTTAATGGACCTGTTGGAACATTTAGATTAGAGATCAGAAGCCTTGGGCCCCATGGGCCCAGTTGACCTAGAAGGTGAGCCTTGCCGGCTCGGCCTGGACCAATTGATTTGGAAGTGTTCGTGATTAGACATCTATTTTCGAAGGATTTTAATAATGGACTTGTTTAAGAGCACTATAACTTGTGCTTGTATTGAAAGTGCATGATTTTGATTAGGTTTATGTTTTGGTTTGGGAGACGTTTTGGAATGCTTATGAATTTATTGGGAAACATTTATGATTAAATTGTTTGCTCTTATTTCTATATTTTGTATTCTTGTTTCAGTGGGATTTTTTTTGAGATGCTTAAGGCTTTGTGTATGGTGTTTTGATTTAAGATTTGAAATGCTTACAAGCTTTTATTTGATCATTATTCGTTTCATGCACGATTTTATATAAGGTTTAGATGTGTTCTTGTTTATGACTTATGAAGTGGGTTAAAAATATATTTTATTTTGCTACCAATAAGCTTTATTTTTGGTTGGGGGGGGGGGGTTACGTAAGTATCATTGGAAAGCTTTGTTGCTTCTTGTTATGATTTCAAGGGTTATTGAAACTACATTTGAACTTATATTTGAGATTTGATTTGAGATATGACCTATAAATGCTTTTTTGTTGATTAATTAAGATCCATGATTTTCATATTTCATTTATGGTATTGGATTTGAATAAGAGTTGATTTCATACCATGAACATTATGCGAATCTATAAATGGCTTGAGTAGCCAGTTTCATTTGAGTAAGAAATTATGGAATTTAAGGTTTAGGGTAACAGTTTTCAAACTCATCATAATTACCCTTCGTAGTGGTCTTTGGACATGATTATCCTACCTCAGTTGTCTTCAGATTAATCTATACGAGTACGACAAGCCCTCACGTGATTCGGGGACACTCAACACGTGTGGTTGCCAAGATATGCCTGCAGAGACATCGAGGCGTTCTTCTTGTGTTGTTGCCAGGATTTGCCTCACATGAGAATATGTTCTGCATGTCTAGTGCCAGGATATTGCATGCATGTTCATTGTCTACACAAGCGTACGACTAGTTGCCTTCGAATATACAGTTGCCTTTGGATAATGAGATGTCCTTGGACATGGTTAGCTTACTTATGTTGCCTTCGGTTTAGTCTAAGCGCGTATGACATGCCCACACATGCATCGGGGACGCTCGACTCTTGTGGGTGCCAGGATATGTCCCTACATGTTATGTACACGTCTAGTTGAGAGGATATGCATGCACAAACATCGAAGGGTTCTTATTGTGCGGTTGCCATGATTTGCATGTATATGTGGATTTGTTCTTCACGTGCAGTTGACAGGATAATTACAGCAACAATGTTCATTTTGTATGCCAGGGTTGGCTAGGTCTTGGGTACTTATTGGTGAGGGTTTTATGCATATTTTCAGAATTGTGAGACAATGGATTTGGATTTTCCAAGTTTAAAGAATTTTATATGAATCATAGTTGTTGTCTTATGTCACGATTTCGTTCTTACCTATAGAGTATTGAAGTAGGTTTGGTTTAACCCATTTATATTGATATAAAGGTTTTCTCGTGGCTAGAGTTGTTTTACTAATTTTCTTGTTTTACAACTTATCGGTTTTAATTCAAATTCTCTATACATATGTAATGGTTTGAAGAGTTGTCTTGTAACCAATATCATTTGTTGAAGTTTCGGCTGATTGGTTGGAGTTTGGGTTTAGAAAAATGGGTAGGAGTTTTTAGTTCATATGAGTATACTTCATATATAACCAGAATTCTTATCACTCATGGAATTTAAGAATGTTTTTATATAATGTTTCAAGAACAATGTGTGGCTTGATCCACCGAGAAAGGTATGTAGGCAACCTAGGGTGACCTAGGTGCAGTCGCAAGGTTAAACACTTTACGTTATGTTCTTTTACGTCAGGAATAGTTGTTGTTATTTGATTATGTGGTTTATTTTATTGGATTGAGTATTGGTTATTTGTGTGTTGAATTCCGATGCTTGTTAATGGACATGTTATGATTGTGAAAGAGAGGTGTGAGGCCCATTAGAACTGTTGCTAGTGTGTGGTTAACTTATATCTTGTGCATCTTGAATGCTTGGGGTGTAAACTATGTTTCTTTGCTGGTGGATTTTGGGTTTAGAGCCATTTTCAGGGGAGATTCTACCGATTTTCTAGTAAAAGTCCAATCCTAAGATTGTATTGGAATTAAGGCAAGAATGTCATTTTAGTAATTTGAGTCAGACACCTGTCAGATGTTGGACAAGCCCATGGTCCATCACGGATTCCAAAGGAGGATTTGGGGCGAGTCTTGTCAGGTTAGATGCTTAGGACTTGAAATTTTGCCGAGACGGTCTATTCTGGCAAACATTTGTCAGCACATGTCCATTTCGACAAAAATTCGCCTTCCAACAAAATTTCGTCGGGTTCTCGGGGTAGGTTTATCCCGACAGAATTCGCCGAGATATTTATATCCTAGCGAATATTTGACGAAAAGATCTACTTTTGTCGAGAAAGGTATAACGGGCAGCTTACAAAGTTTTTTTTTTCTTTTTTTTTTTCCCACAATTGTATTTTGCTAGATCCCCATTTCAACAATTTTTTTTTTCTTTTTATTTAAATGGGCATCTAGTAAATTACAATTGTGAAAAATCTAATTTTTTTTGTAAGTTCCCTAATAAAAGATGGACATCTAAAAAAAATACAATTATAAATATTTAAATTAAAAAAACTTTGTAAGTTGCGTTGCGCTTCATGAAATAAAGGGTGATAATTTTTCCACTTCTCTTTTATTCACATACACTTTCTTTTGTTTTGTTTTAATACTTTTTACTATAAGATAAAAGGAAGTATAAGTGAACAAAAGTAGAGTGAAAACATACAATTAAAATAAAATAAAATGTAAGTGGATAAAAGGAAGTGGAAAAATAAGTATCCTAAATTTCTCCCCGCACAAAAAAAGGGTGTCACGAGGACAAACAAACAATGACGCGGATCGCAGCCAAAGAAAAGTCTTGAGCAGGACAGATTTACCCTTCAATGATCAATAAAATCCTCATCCGACGTCCCACTTCCCACCCAACCCGATCGAGCCAAAGGCCTAACCCCACCTTCATGTCATTTATCCCCAAACCCACATTTTGACATAAAATCTCAAACAATTTCTCGGCGACCAAACACCCAATTTCTCTCCAGTCTCGAACCCAAACCCTAACCCCCAACCCCGAATATTGGCCACCCAATCTCAGCGCTATGTCGACCTCGGGGACGCCGCAGTTTCGGTACACGCAGACCCCGTCGAAGGTGCTTCACCTCCGGAACCTCCCATGGGAGTGCGCCGAAGAGGAGCTCATCGAGCTCTGCAAGCCGTTCGGCAAGATTGTCAACACCAAGTGCAATGTTGGAGCCAACCGCAACCAAGCCTTCGTAGAATTCGTAATTGAGTCTTACTTTTCGTCATTCCAATTTCATTATCCCATTAAATTTTTCGAGAATTTATGATAACCATTTTATCGGAAGTGGTATCTTATTTCTCATTTGTGCTTGTTGTTGTAGACATTAATTCAGCTGAAATTGGTTAGATATTTGAAAATAAATAATTGGGTGCTAGCATATCTATTTCGAGTTCTTGCCATATGTTGATGAAGGCAATAATTACTTTTCAGGCTGACCTAAACCAGGCCATAAATATGGTTTCATATTATGCTTCATCCTCAGAGCCTGCACAGGTCCGTGGTAAGACAGTTTACATTCAGTATTCAAATAGACACGAAATCGTCAACAACAAAAGTCCTGGAGATGTTCCCGGAAATGTCTTGTTGGTCACCATTGAGGGTGTTGAAGCTGGCGATGTGAGCATTGATGTTATTCACTTGGTAAGTGCGTTTGACCCACAGTTGTTACATATTGGCCCTGTCTTGTATATAATATATATTGCAAAAACCTTGTCTAAACCTAGCTGATCCATGTCTAGAGAAGCATGAATTGCTGGCTTGTTTTATAAGTCATGGGATTCTGGATAAACTTTCAAATTGAATTTGTGTAAAGCAGATTTTCGTTTTGTCCTTTTTATTGAAATCAGTTGAATCACAGATGGTGATGTCTCTTATTTAAATTCTTTTGTTGGAAGCAGTTTGGAATTATTATCATGTACGTCATACTCCTTTCTAAGGTCACGCATATATGCACAGGTGTCATTCTGCACTTATAACTCATCTGTTTGGAATTTTTTTGTTGTCCCATAATATTTTCGTCCGGGAGGGTTTCTGTTGTTGTCTTGTTTCTTTTTTTGTATCCGTATGATATGTTAATGATGAACTGAAACATTTTTCAGGTGTTTTCTGCTTTTGGCTTTGTGCACAAGATTGCTACATTTGAAAAAGCAGCAGGCTTCCAGGTCTGTATTGGATCTTTCTTTGTGCTGCATACAACGTGTACTTTAGATATGTCATTTTTATCCTTTCGTTTTAATTTTGCAGGCATTGATTCAGTTCAATGATGCTGAAACTGCATCTTCGGCAAGGAATGCCTTGGACGGAAGAAGCATACCCAGGCATGTACTGTCCATATGTTCCCCATCCCCACCATCTTTTCCTCTTCCTCATTGAGTTCAGTACATTTGGAATAGTGTGTAGTGTTTCTAATTTTTGAAACCTGATGCTTTACATTCAGGTATTTGCTTCCAGAGCATGTTGGTTCATGCCACTTACGTATTTCATATTCCGCACACACTGATTTGAACATCAAGTTCCAGTCTCACCGAAGCAGGTAATCAACAGACCCAATAGGTCAATATTCTGTTTCGTTTTTCTTTTTGGCTTTGTTCTTATGTGTCTCAATGTGTTTATTGCTAAACTCTTTAGCTGATTTTATTGCATGTTATATCAAGTGCTAATGGGTGCATGTGCTTTTTGTCATCTAGGGGTTAGTGAAGCCTGGTAGCCAGAACACAGATGTGTTGTCATGACCATTTAGTAATTCCTTGATCTTATATAGTGGCTTAATGTATTTATTAATTCCATTATAGTTAGAGTTGCTCATTTTACACTATTACACACTATACATTGTTATTTTGTGTTCATTTCATACAATTTTTTCTTCCCTGTTGGGATGGCTTCTCGTTCAGCATATTTTCAGTGTCATGTATTTGCACGCTTACTTTTCTTTATACTAAATGATTGGTTTTGGAAAAAGATACTGCTTGACATTAGCTGAGACATACATGACTAGATGCATAGTGCAAATGTTGTTTTAACTCTTCTCACGATAATTGATTGTAATACCTAGAAAATACTCCTTGCTTTTACTTAAATTTTACATTAATTTCAATTAGACGTGTGTTTATGGATGTGTTTCTATTTTGAGACAGTTTGTTAAACTCTCACATCAGTTTGTGCATGTAATTGTTGCATAATGTGTATGATTTTGATTTGCATTGATTCTGCAGGGACTATACAAATCCATACCTTCCTGTAAATCCTACTGCGATAGAGGGAATTATGCAGGTATGCTCTGGGCTTTTAGAACATTACTATAATATGTAGTGTTGAGTATTACTACCTAAGCCAAACATTGCTCTAATTAGCTGCTATCTCCAGCCTGCTGTAGGTCCTGATGGAAAGAAGAAAGAGCTTGAGAGTAATGTGCTTCTTGCTTCAATCGAAAATATGCAGTATGCTGTCACTGTGGATGTTCTTCACACGGTTAGGATTTATAACTTTTGTGCATTTGAAGTGCTCAATTTAATAAGATGTTATATATATATATATATATATATATAACTTTTGTGCATTTGAAGTGCTCAATTTAATAAGATGTTATATATATATATATATATGATGCTGCTTTATATGTTATAGGTATTTTCTGCATTTGGCACTGTCCAGAAAATTGCTATATTTGAGAAGAATGGTCAAACACAGGCATTGGTTCAATACCCTGGTATTTACCCTCTCTATATGACCTATTGATTTGTCATGGATCTGTGAGAATTTGGCTGTCATTGATTTGTGAGTTGTTATTTCAGATGTCAATACCGCAGCAGTTGCAAGGGAAGCTTTAGAGGGACACTGCATATATGATGGTGGCTATTGTAAGCTTCATCTATCATACTCTCGTCATACTGATCTCAATGTAAAGGTATAAATATGTGCTTTTGAGTTAAAATGTTCATGAGAATAAAAATAAGACAGAAAATGTAAAGACATCCATAGAAGAAAAAGTGGATCTGTTCTTGGTCGAAAAACGATTTGGTCCTTAAATGTATGCTTCTTGACACCTAGTTTCCTATCTGATTATATGAATTCGTGCCTAAGAAATCGTGGATGAGAGTTTGAGATTTGTATTTATTCTTATTTGCAGGCTTTTAGTGACAAAAGTAGAGATTATACAATCCCAGAAGCTAGTTTGCTTGCGGTGCAGCAAGTTTCTGGTTACCCTGCTGCTCCGGCAGCTTGGCAGAATCCCCAGGCTGCTCCAATGTACCATGGGAACGAGTTCAGTGGTGCAGCTTCTATGCAGGCCCAAGGGCCTCCAGGGCAAGGGCCATCATGGGATCCAGCCATGCAGGCGGGCAGATCAACGTTTGTTTCAGTTCCGAGCACGTTTCCTGGTCAAACATTTCATGCATCCTCAGGTCCAGTATATTCCTCTGCAGCAATGCCGCCAGGTTCTTCACCTCTCCAAACAGGCCCAACTACTTCCTCCAGTATGGCTTCTAGGGGAATATCTCAGCCAGGTGGTCCGCCCAACTTGCGACCTGGGGGTGGTGCTTCACCTCCAGGAGTTGGACCTCCTGGTGCCTCACCATCCTACTATGGCCAATAAGATGCCTTTTCTTTTCTTTTCTTTAAACAAATGCTGGTTATTGCCAGTCTCATATTTTTGTTTTTTCGTTGGGATGGACGTCAAAAGATATTAAAACCCCAAATTCAATTTTCAGTGTCTTAAACTCAGTACTGCCCTGCTTTGATTGGAAATCTGATCTTGTGATTTTAGTTTGAATACGAAATATGTATTGTTTTGAGCTTAACAAAAAAAATTCAAGTCACATGTTATTGCATCCGCTTGAGCTCAATCACCCAACAATTCAAGCACAATTGGCAATTGGGTATTGGGTATTGTATTTTCCTTTTCTTTTTTCTTTTTCTTGGTACTAGTCAATCAAGGAGGACCCAAGTGAATATCTTTTCATAGGGCTCGGCTTTTGTCCACTACCATACCACTAGTCACTAGACTGCAAAAGCCTGAAATGAAAGGTCAATTCAATTCTGGGTTTGGCCTACTTGGTCTAAAACAAGAGGTTGTGAAGTAAAGGGCCCCTGTAACAAACAAACACGGTTCAACTCTTCAACCTGCACGGTAGGACTAGGGACCCTTGATGGAGCTCTAAGCTCTGAGCTCTGGAATTTCAACATCCGAAAGTGAACCTGTCTTAATTAGGCAATGTTTTTGTGACTAGATTGGGTTATGAGATTGCATTGGATTACATTGAATTGGATCAGATAATATTAATCCAATGATGTTTTTGACACCACGTGATTAAGGGGTTGGATTAATTAAAATGTGATATTACGCTTAGTAGAATTAGACATAATCTAATCCAACTTAATTCTAACTACATAATCGAACCCACCAAACGAACTAAGCTAGTTCAAATGCAAATGAGAGATTTCAACTTGATTGAATTTGAGACTCATTTATTTGAAATCTAATAATTAATCATGCATAATGTCTCCAAATTCTCATTTTTATTTGATTTTTTCCCCTTTTCCACGATATCTCAAATATTTCTCATCCGCATGCCTCGAGATATGCCAACATTAATCAAAACCCAGTGAGCATGAATTGGATCAGAAAGGCAGATATTAGCATTAAGTCAGCAGAGCATATGGCTCTATCAAAATAAATCTATGCAGAAATATTCAGAAATGTCAGTGAAAAACAGAGAGATCTTACGGATTTTGCGCACAATTTCACGATGAAATAAGGAAAACCACATAAAGAGTGAGTGGGGCTGCGACGATTTGGGAGTGCTAAGTTAACCAATTCCCTGTGAGTGGTGAGGTGACCCTTTCCATGGATGTCATTTTCTTTAATTGCATTGCATGTTCGAAGAAAAAAGTAGAAAGAAAACGTGCCTTTGTCTATGTCGGTAGTGCATTTTTTGCTCATCAACATGCCAAGTCCTTACTAATAATATTGTAGAGTTAAGAGTCATTAATTTATGTATATTGCAAATTCTTATTCCCCATTACTAGCTACACAGAGTAGTTTTTTATTAACCAATGAGGTGTTAGTTGGATTGACTCAAGTTTTTTGTACTCTCTCGAGTGATTCTGGGTTCAAGTCCCTATACTACTCGTGTGTGTGAGTTTTCCCGTTCCCTTACTAACTTTGGCCGAAAAAGAGAGTGGTTTATTATTATTATAATTATTTATTTTTATTGAACTAGCCACACAGAGTTAGAAGCCCTCTAAGAAAATAAGAAAGAAATTTCACTCTTCTAGTCTGCTGACCTACGTAAATTTTCACTCCAGAGAACTCTTCCTTAATTGATTGCCTTTATATTTCTCATATTGTAGTAAATAGTTTTAAGAAAAAATCATGAATCAAAGGCCCACAGCTTTCAATTCGAAGTACCATATTTCCTTAATTTCTTAAACATGCATCCTGCTGTCCGTTAGGTGGTTGTTGTATGTATAGTTTCATTTCATTGCCCCCCAAATCCACTCGAATATATCACATCCTCCCAATTATACTATACTATGCAGGTAATATTGCCTTAGAACAGAAATATGGTTTCTCCATGTTGGCTGGTGATGTTATATATGCCACTAGAACCCTAATTAGAACTCGATAATTTCCTGAGTTTGCTAAAGCATCACAGTTAATCAATCACTGGTTCGAAGCTTGGATATTTTTTGTGAGATTCGAACTCAGAAAACTTCAAATATTGGAAAGAAAAATACTATTAGACTAATAATTGATCTGTCAAAACTCGAATCTTTGTTATGGTTTACGGATGAAACTTGAGCATGTAATTAAGAGTAACAAGTTAACAAGCTTGAGAAAGAAATTGACTAAATACTATGACAGAGAATGGGGTATGGGATAATTAATGCTATTAGTTGGTTGAGAGCATCCATTAATATAAGTGGGTTTTCCTTTTTATTGATGAAAATGAAAGACAATGAAGGAGAACATAGAACATTCACGCTTGATGTTTATTTATCGATTTCAACCCCGGCATTTATATGTGATAGGCCGGTCTGAGGGAGACAAACATTAATTAATTGCAGCAACGAATTTTCGGGTAATGACCAATTATGTGTGGTCTAACTTGATGACTTAATTTAGGAGTGTAATCTCTGCATATGCTTAGCAGGGTCATTGGAAATGTTACTGTAGCTATGTTTCAAACCAATCACGCATTGTAATGTAAATATGTTAAAACGCATGAAATACCACTACAGTGACATTCCCATAGCATCACACACATGGATATGTATTATGGTTTACGTCACATTCAATAGGAACCCAAAGGATGGATATAATTGCCATCACATGCCACTCAAAACGCAGATGCATGTGCGCAAGTATGTATGGCTTACGGAAGCATGCATTATCTGCATCAAGCAACAGTTTAATGTCAATATTATGTCACTCTCTATAAAGCTTTGTTTTCTGAGTCCAGTTTATGTTGAAAATGATGCATACTTGTGATAATAACACTTGTTTAGGTGATTAATTAGGCCATTGTCTGTTGGGCTTGCAATGGCTTAATTTGCAAAACTCTTCAACATGGCTCAGAAACCAAGTGTCCAAATATACAGAAAAAAGCAAGGCACTCACCATTTTAATATATGCTGAGTGTTGCAGACAGACGCTAACATCTGTCTTCTGAGTTCTGACAATGAAATTGATGAAAACTTTGGATGAGAGTTTCTCTCATCTGCCTGCCTCGCAAACAGGTTTCGAATTCCATAGCTCTTGACCTTAATGTTTTGCTTTAATTTCCAACAATCAATGTTATCTGATAATAAGGTCACTCCTGAGATGAGAGATGAAGACTTAAAGGCATTACAAGGCCCACCAAATTTCGTCCAAAGATACGCTGTTTTCACCTCTACAACTGGACAAGGTTTCAACTCTTAATGAACTTGACATCAAATCTAGGTGCAGATGTGCAGAATAAAGTTCTGGACATAAAGGTAAAAACCCACATGACTACTTAGCAAATGGTTGTCCCTACATAGTGGAAACAGACAATATTGTGCTGGTTAGCCCTAAGTTCATTACAAGAACTACATATTTTTCAGAAACATGCAGAAAAAAAGTAGATTTACATATGTTTGGTATGTAATAAATGAAAGCTTTATCTTTCCCCAAACCAGAGATAATAAGATGAAACATTTTGCATGTGGTGTTTTCCCATCAATGTTTGGTCATGCATGAATGACATTTATTAGCAAATCTTATGGTTTAGAGATTTAGATACAACATGAATCGACAGCAAGGCACTCTTGATGCGGACATGAAAACTTTGAAGACATACCGGCAGCTTTGCAGACAGTACATAAAATAAAAGATTGAAGTTGCATGCAACTCCAAGCACTGGTTTGAATTGAATTCATAAGTTGGACAGTAAATAAATTCCATCATGGCAATAAAGAAGAATAAATATGAGCAGCTCCTAAAATTTACTGTTTACACCATATTTAACCAAGCGTGATTGAACACCAAGGTAGACATGTCTTCCTCCCTGCCAAAGGGAGATGCTCTTCCGCGGGGACAACCACCTGCCGAAGCTCCGAACTGCCAAACCTAAAACACAGGAGACACGTGTCATCATCACAGCAACTTGCACAAAGTCCCACATCGGAACTTTGTGCAAACCTCCTACCTTTACTTCCCTATAAATAGGAACAGTAACCAAGAAAATGGTAACTTCTCTCTCTCACTATTACTGCTACTTTGCAATAGTCACTCACTCTAGCTGACTCAAGCATCGGAGAGCCTTCGGCCGGCACCACACTGGTGTCCGAAGCTTACGATTGCTTCTCCTATCTTTGTCTTTTGCAGGCTAGCCCCCTACCGAAGGCCCAGGCCCTTCTCTTGCTAAAGACAACCCCCTCTCTCTAAGTTGACCCTCCCCGAAAAGGAGCATCAACAGTTTGGCGCCGTCTGTGGGAAACCAATACTTGAAACCCATTTTTCTCTACCAGCCCAGCTGGCTCCTTCACCTATCCGGCCCCGTCGCCTCTTCTTCACTCCACACTCAGCCATGCCTACCGAGGATAGCCGCGATGCCCAGCGCAGTATCCCTCAGCAAGGTACCTCTCAGAGGGGACCATCAGCAGACCTCAACCTCCAGGCCGAGGTGGAACTCCTCCGCGC